TATGTTCATAGTATTTTTATAACTAAAAGACAAAAATACACAAGTTACATATTTTAAAAGTAAGGTGAAAATTGCTTTCGTAAAATAACCTATTTAAAGTTAAAAGTAAAAAAAAAAAAGATTATCCAAACATATTTGAAGTCAAAAAGTTACTTATAAACATACCTCTAAAAGATTTAGCCAAATATGCTCTAATTAAAATTTTGTAATGAACATGTTTTCGTATTGATAATTTTTCATGAAAAAGAAAAGAAGTCGAGCGTTGAGTTTACACGAGTGGAATACTCGAGATTTCATAATTTGTTACAACTACAATAATCATGTGCTATAAATTTATATAGAAGTTGATTCGTGTTGAAGGCCGTACTTGAAGGATAAATTTATTCTTTTTTTTTTTCTATAAATTAAACTTTAAGATGAGTGATTCAATAAATTGAAATCTTAATGTTACTTATTTTACAAATTTTTTATACATATTAAACTTTTTATATAAAAAATAAAAAAACATACGATCTGAGGTAGATCCCAGATGGATAAAAGATGCCGGAGGAGAATGATCTGTTGGAGCAGAGGAATCCTAATTTGTTGTTGCAGATCGAGGGTGAATCCAATACTCCTTGTACGTGGGATGTTTCACTTATGGATCTTTATGTTATGATATACTTTGACCAATTTCAATTCATTTGGATATTATTTCATATTCCTTGGGATTCGATTTTATTAATATGTTCATTCTGGTGAGGCATGATCCTTGAATCAGTAACAAGTATTTTATTAGACCCTCCTTTGGGTGGCAATATATTTCTTTCTTAGTTACTTGTTTTTAAAGATGAATCTTTTAAGTCTTGATATGTCATCAACACTCATTAAATTGAAATGAATATTCGATCATTCTAAAACTCAAGCAAGCATTCTAATTTTAAGATTAACGTGCTCAAACAAGCTATCATTTTGTAGGGACATGTTAAAGCCGCTCCTCTTGAAAATGTTGATTTTTAATTTTGGATGTAACTTCAAATCATAATATGACATTAGAATTCATTAACATCAAATGTGCATTCGAATTCCAAAATTGGTGTTCTAAAACGAGTCACCATTTTATGGAGACGTGTTATGGGTAAATCACACCGATTAAAATGAAGTAAATACGCAATATAAAGCTTTGACTATACCTCTTAATAAGGTTAATGTTTTAAAATGACAATTGGCAGTGGAAAGAATAATATTATATGTACACAGTGTAATGTGGCAGACGATGTGAGATGAAATGATAATGCTAATTAAATGTGTAGATATAATATTTCTTTATTGACATTTTCATTTATCATATCCACTTCATTGACATTATCATTTTGTACAACCTCATATGGGGATCGTCCCCAGTTTGGTATAGCATTACTCTAGTAGAATATATTAATTCAGTGAAAATTTGAAAATAAAATTAAATTTTTTGTTATTGGTTTTGCTTGAGATGACAAAAAAACTCGATCAATCCGATACCCATAGACCCCGCCTTGAACAGGACGGGAATTACTAGCTTAATCGGGTATTCGGGTTGGGGACGGGGCATGAAATTTTGCCCTGAGACGGGTTCGGGGTGAGGACGGGTAACGGGTGTCCCCACCCGCCTTGTTTAATTTTTTAATTTTAGAATTCAATACTCTAAATGAAAATTTTCACGAAATTTCATTAGTTCTAATAGAAAATGACAAGTAAAATTATCTAAAAAATATGACAAACAATAAAAGCCTTAGTTTACCAAATATATTTAAATAATTTAACTTTTACCAATAAGTAAATATTAAAAAAATATATTATTGTCTCAATCTAATTAATGAGGGCGATAAAATAAATTATCAAAAATCTAAAAGTAAAAAATAAACGGGGCCCACCCCGCCTTAAGAGGGTAACGGGGCGGGGGAGGTTGCCCCGACCCCGTCCCATCCTGCCTCGCCTCGTTCCCATCCCTAGGTTTTGCTTGTATGGATTATAGACCTTATTTAACTCAATTATGGAAATAATGGACGAGTATTAATCCAAAGAAAAGCCGAGGTTATTCTAAGGTATTGAGATATATATTTATTATTTAAGGATATGAAGTCTTGTACATGTGTTTTGAGAGGAGTAAGAATCGATTTCAAGCCATGATGCTACATTAAAAAAAATGTTATGTGCAACATATAGTTGATTCACTTGAATGATCTTAGTGTTTGCAATTGGCCTATTTTGTGATCAAAAGCAATAAATATCCATAGAAGGTTTGATCATCGGCATGATATAATGAGAAAAGAAGACTCGAATGCAAAGTGAAAGATTGAGAATGAAAATTGGCTCGACACAATGCATGAGCCTCACAAGCTAACTTACTAGTACTAAAATAACGTTCGACTTGTTAAAGATGCTTATATTGCAATATATAAAATAGATAATAAATGAAAGAAAAGAAAAGAAAATTATTTATCGTAATATTGAGTTATGTTCTCCCTGTTAACTGATGGAGCTTGATAAGTGTAGTTTCTACACTTATTCAAGACCTTAAATGATGATATTTTATTGTTTTTTCGATAAAATTCTACCAAATTTATGTTATATTGCATTTTTGTAGGTAAAACTTTATATTTGATGAAGAATTGGAGAAAAGAAGTGAAAATTGACGAAAAAAGCAAGATTCAAAGTTTAGGGATTAAAATGTAAATACTCAAAAGTTGTGCTGAAATTCACGATGAAAATTTGAGAATGTTAGGGGTCAAATTGATGCAATTAGTAGTCAAAAGGAGTGAAAATATGACCAAAATATTTTCACAAAATAATTTTCAATCGCACAAGGATGTTCTAGATTTTTAGTCAGAGATTGATACCCATGTTTGGTCTAGTAAATATTCGAATTGGAAAAGAGATATTTCTATCAAAGTTGCAGATCTTGGAGTTATCTTTCCAAAGTATCTTGAATTACCTTGATCGGATATTAGGAGAGAAAGTTATAATAAAAACATTGAAAAAGGCGCATAGTTGGAACAGTGACCTAGCGCCCAGGCGCCGGCAACCGAGCACCCAGGCGATGTCTTACCCAGAAAGACAGATTTTTAACGCCCAGAGGCTGCACCCATAGCGCTTTGCCACTGCCCTGATACTCGACGTGGCGCCTAAGCGCTGCGCTGCACAATTTAGATTTTTGCTATTTGGATCGCAAGAAGCCTAGGAAAAGACTCCAAATTGGCCAAGTACGTATAAGGAAGTATAAATAGACATAAGGAGGCACTAATAAAAGGTTCCAAACATTGAAAAAAAGAGATATACAACGAGAGATCGAAGAGTTCAATCAAGAGAAGAAATTCATCA